GTTTATCATATGCTTTAAGCATCAGGTAAATTATATTTGGTAGATGTAATGATTGTAAGGTATGCATGTCTGTCTGGCAGATTCATATAACCATGACCGCATTTTATGGTTCTTTGGTCAATGCTAAGTTTTCTTGGTTTTTTCATTTTATCAGATATTATAAGCATATGTCTACTTGTTGGTGTATGGAATGACTGCAAGGTGTCATATAAAAATAACAAGATGTCTGTCTGCCAAGGTTAATATTGCTGTGACCTCATTTTCATAGAATATTGATAATATTAAACAGCAAAAATGATGAGCAAGACAAGATGTACAAATGATCCAAAATTGTCAGTTGCCTACTAGTACTAATTATGTGATAGTAGTTATTGTCATTAAATGATAATGTTTACCCTTTTATGTGTAGGGCAAGGACATTAAAGATAAAGGGAAACTATAAACAAAAGAAATTATCAACAAATAATTTACAGACGTCAACAAAGCCTAAATGGTAAGTCCACTTCTATAAAAGTTATTGCCCTTGAATAATGATTATTATGAAAATAAGATGTGGTATGATAAATAAGAAAACTATCCACCAGAGTTCAATTAAGTGGATGTAAGCAATGCAATTACTTATTAGAGGCCAATGATGACCTGTAAATAATGAGAAAACCCATACCCTATACATGATATAGTCATCTATAAAAGACACCACAAACAAAATTTGGAACAAAACATCAATTAAAACTTCAAATATACCAGACTAATTTGAACCAACATCAACCACTGAACTATGTACAGGCTCCTGATTTTGGACAGGCAAAATATGGCAGGGTTGATATAAAGATAAGAAGCGGTATGATTGCCAATGAGACTTTTCTCCAATAGAGATCAAATGACATTAAATTTAACAAAATTAGTTCACTGTACAGCCTTCGACAATGAGCAAACCCTATACTGCATAGTAATCTATAAAAGGCCATGAAATAACAAATGTAAAACAATTTAAAAAGGGCATGGTGTCTATCCATGCTAAACATGCTTGGGGGAAACACCACAAAGGCGAAAGCTAAGTGCCTGATTTTTGCACAAAACAAAAAATAAAAAACAAATATGATATATAGCAACAATTGACAACCACTGAATAACAGGCCCCTGATTTTGGACAGCCATTTACAAAATGTGGCATGGTTTAACATGTTTGCTGGCGCCAAATCCTCCTCTAATTAAGGACAGTGGTGTAAGTGTCAGTTCATTTAAATATAAAAACTATAAAATCAGTTGAAAAGGGCTATTTTCTGCTCTTTGGTCAGGTTATTTTGATACATTCCCGTTTTCGTTTTCAATTTTATTAACTCATTAGAATGCAATAAAGCAGAAAAACAGCTACCAAAAACACAGACCGGATGTGGCTGGAAATTTATTCTTTCCCTTTAACAAAAAAGACTCAACATACAGATCTATTAGTACTGACAGTTACTGACAGCTAATTCAAAGCAAATATCAACTAATAAAATAAACATTTTGTGAGCACCCAACCCACCCCTAACCTGGGACAGTGGTTTTAATAACAGCACAACATTTGAACAAACTGTAAACATTTGTTGCAATTGGCTTAACTCAAAGGACTGCAACAAGGCACAAAAAACAACTAATATGAAAACCATAGACACAAAGCACTGAAATAAGAGTTCTTACAATTTTAAATATTCAAATGAAAGTTATATCAAAATGTACATAAATATGATAAAATAGCCATTTTATTGCTGTATTTCTCTTCATTTATAATTTTTGAGTTTTGTGTATTTGTAGGTCAGACATCTTGGTTTTCATGATCATCATTCAACAAGTCAATACTGAACAGAAAACTTAAAGTTGATATTTTTCAACATAGTGTGACTTTTTTATTAATTTGAAATGGAATGTGTTTTTTCCTACATAAGAAAGAGGAAATTTCATCATAATGACTATAAACAAAAAGGCGTCATATCATCATGATCATAGATGCACAAGAACTTAATCATGTAAATGCAACAACGTAATTATCAATTGAAAGAAGGGAGGAATGAAAAAATATATTAGTATTTTGTTGTACAAATGAACTTGCTTTGTCCACTCATTTAAATGGCTCCATCCAATAAAGATGTACGGTGGAAGATTTTTGAAGAACAGATTGCAAAAAAAGATTTTGTCTTAGAATTGTAGGAATATTCTAGTGGATGAAATAATTTATTTACTTGACTCTTATATAGAGGACTGAATAATTGTACATAGCAAGCTGAAACAAGAAAAACTAAAACTTAACAGGAAAAGTGTTTATTTTATAAATTTGCAAATATAAACGTAATATTATGAACACCACAAAGGTATAAGATTCAAATCGTTTGCATATTCATGTATTGCAATGGAACTATAACAAAGAAAACTTTAACTCATGAAAAGAGTAAACTATTAACTGTGCTTTGTCAATTTATTCAGTCAGAATATGAAATATTTTTTTCAGTTCTATTTTTCATAATAAAACAAACAAGACAAAGATTTCAAATCAATATTTTTTTCTTTTATTAAGACATGTCATCATTTTATTTCAGTTAAAGGATTTTATTTTTTGACTTTAAATAGTGTTATACTTTCCAAAATAATAATAATCTTTATTGTCATATAAACAAATTAAAAACATGTTTGTGACAAAATGAAAAAAACCAAAATACACTCATACATGTCATATATATATTATAAAATTTTTACTACCAAACAGAATTCATTGTAACATACACATTACTGTATATTTATAATTTGAATTCCATAGGATTTTATTTTGTCCCATGGGATATTAAAAATCCCATGGGATAATTATAGTCCCATGGGATTTTTTTTGTCCCATGGGACAACAAATATCCCATGGGACTACAATTATCCCATGGGACCCAAAAAAATCCTATGGGATTTAACCAAAATCCCATGGGATAATGGTCAATCCCATGGGATTTGCCTTATCCCATGGGATATTGAAAATCCCATGTTTTTCTAAATCAAATTACAGAATATATATAATAATAACAGTAGAAAAGCAATGAAATTATTGAATCCCATGTAATTCCGCACATTTTGGTTATATACACTACATTGTAGGTCTAAGGAGAGGCGGCGGCGGATTTGCAAATGAGTGTTTTGCAAATTAAAAGTGTCCAGTGTTTTAAATGAAAACACTTCGAGAATTAATAAAAAGACCCCTTTATGTAGCAACATGTTTAATGTTATAATGGTATCCCATATTATGAGTTATCACTTTAACAACATCATTGATATTGAATGAGATAGATTTGTGATAACAAAAAAGGATAAATTATTAAAAAATGGAGATTTCCTCTGCTTCAGGTACAATTTAATCTTACATATAAAAAATTCCTTCATTTTTAAAAAGCACAAAATTTTATATAAATCAGCTTTTCTTAAATTGTATAATTTTTAAAAAGGACAAAACTTCATAAATGAATCTTAATTTACAATCGTTGTTTTTTTTATTGATGAATGTATTATTTTTTTTTCAAAAACTTTCTTTAATTTATTTTTTTACAGTCATTGTTTCTTAAAACATTGAGTTTGAGGTTTGGTATAAAAATTTGATTAAATATTACATGTATTTTACCAACACCTTTGTCCCCTTTTCAATTTTTTTTCGAAAGAAGGGGGGCTATATATATACCATTAAATAACATTTACAATGTTGAAATCTCAAATTGAAATACCTGTTTTAGTTCTATTCTCCTGATTTAATTTATAATACCGGGGTAATTAAACAAACAACAGTACTCATGATTTTTTTCTTTTTGTCTTATCCCTTGGACATTGCCATGGGGGTTGTACACTTCGAATTTTTAAGAGTTCTCTTTCATAATTAATCTACAATGAAAAGTCATCCATGTGTAGCATTTTATAGTGCATGGAAAGCCATGTACTATGAAAAGTAGAAGGGAAAATACTAATTTTCCATTGGACGAGAATGAGTGAGTATGTTCTAATTGTTATATAATGTTCTCTTTTAAGCCTACCATGATAACTGTTCTCTAGCACAATTCATATACCAAAGTATATAATTAGAACATACTCACCCCTTCTCGTCCAATGAAAAGTCAGTTTTTTTCCTAATTACCATTGTACATGGCTTTAAAACTATAAAATGCTATACATGAATGACTTTTCATTGTAGACTTATTATGAAAGTGAACTCTAAATAACTACACTTACGAAGTGTACAATCCCCTGAGGCATTTTCCTTGGGAAAATATAGCCTCCTGATTAAAAATGAAAGAGAAAAGAATTATAAAAAACATTTTGAATTTTGCAAATATTTATAATGGTACATGTATATAACAAACAAAAATGAAATGGGGGCAAATATATAGGTAAAATAATCTTTTATTAAACTTTTATACCAGACATTCCAGTCAATTATTATTTTTTTTTCTTTCAAGAAAACAATGTCAGGCTGCTGATATATAAAACAAAGGATTTTTTTCGAGAAAAAAACACAATACAAGTACATTCATCAATAAAAAGTAAGCACCTGGTGTTGAATGGTCGTAATTCAAATATTTATAGAGTGAATTTTATAATTATAAAAAAATATACAAATTTCATAAAGCAGATTTAAATAACATTGTGTGCTTTTTAAAATCAAGAAATTTAAGGTATATAAGTATTAAATTTTACCTGAAGCAGAAGAAAAACTCAAATGTTTGAACAAATTATCCTTTTTGTTCTTACAAACTATGTCAGTGCTATTTCATTCCATCCATTGAAATAATCATTACCTATGTTATACATTCACTTCATTATAAAAAGTGATTTTTTATTTAGGTTTGAATATTACAATGGGAAAGGATAATTTTGTAAGGTCACTACGCCTTGGGCTTTAAATCTCCATAAAACATGACCAAGTATTGTCTAACCTAAAATTAAAATTAGGTGGTAATTTGTTAAATACTAACAACAGTTATTTTTTTTTTATACAGGTGAGTAATTTGATCTTTACAGAATTATTGAGGTTGGGTGGAAAACAAAAAAGGCCGAAGACTGTTGCCATCGGGAGTTGGAAAAATAGACAATGAAAAATTGTTTAATGTGAAAAGAAAGACCGAAGTTCATAGTAGATATATCGAGTATCATGTCAAATACGGGACATAGTCCTGTACCACGTGACCGGGATGCAGACAATAAAATCTATAATTCTAAACTCGTTCTTACAAAACTCAAAATCGCTGAAAACTCAGGACAAAAGAATGCATCAAAAACAGTTTCACTGAAAGAACATGATGATTCTTCTAAGCTACAGACAGGACGATCTGATGATAAAGTATTTAGCTCGATTGTTTGTCTAACGAAAATCCACAGTGATAAAAGTATGGTAAACTCGGAACCAAAATATGCTTCTAAAACAGTAAATACCATACTGCAAAATAGTCCTATCATACAGACAGGACAAAATGAGGATCAAATGTTTAACGCTGTGGTTTGCCTCGCTAAGATCGACACAAATAAAGTAACGAAAAACCTTGAACAAAAGCATGCGTCAAAAACAGAAACGCCTACACTGCAAAATAGTTCAAACCTTCAGACAGGACAATCTGGGGATCAAGCGCTTAACCCTGTGGTTTGTCTTGCTAAAATCAACACTGATGAAATTACCAAAAAGTCAGAACAAAAGTATGCCTCAAAAACAGTATCTCCAATACTGCAAAATAGTTCAAACCTGCAGACAGGACAAAATGATGATAAAATATTTCATTCGGTAGTTTGCCTCACTAACATCAAATTAAATGAAGTCTCAGAAATGTCAGAACAAACAATTTCATCAAAACCAGAAAAACACGATCTACAAGATGATCCTATCCTGCAGGCAGTACAATGTAAAGATACAATGTTTAGTTCTGTAGTTTGTTTATCAAAAATGAAATCTTTTGAGAGATCAGCAATAAAATCATTTCCCACGGACATACTACCGGCTAAAACACAGGTCAATTTAGAGTCACTACTTATTCCTAGCATAGAGAAAATAGAAAAAAATCCCAAAGATAAAAAATGCATTCCAAAAGGCAGAACTAAATCAACTAAACCACAAACAGAAAATGTAGATCCCAAACTTTTCAATTCAGTGGTTCTTCTTGACAGAATCAAAGTCGATGAAAAATTGGAAAATAATCGTTCGAAAGGAAAATCGATGAAAAGGCTTATGGAGTTGAAATTGAAAAATCGACCAAGAATGATAAACATCGATAACAAACTTAAACGTAAAAAGTTTAAACCGAACGTGAAGCTTGACATATTAGCGTCTAAAATACTAAAATCAAATGAGTCCACAAGACTTCCAAAAGATTCACTTAAAGCAATCGACTCGCATGATCATAACGAGAAAATTAAATCCGATGAAATATCCCAAACAAACGATGAAAATGATGTAGAAAATAGATCCGTAACGATTGAAACACCCATGACAAACAACTCAAATGATTCATCTGATATAATCCAACTATATGTTTCATTCGAGATAAACGAATCTGATGAAAACCAATCAGATGTTTCATCCGAGATAAACCAACCAAATGATTCATACGGGATAAACCAACCAGATGATTCACCCGAAATCATCCAACTAGATGATTCATCCGAAATAATCCAGTCAAATGATTCACCCGAGATAATCCAATCAGACGATTCATCTGCAGTTGAGATAATCCAATCAAACGATTCATCTGCAGTTGAGATAATCCAATCAGATGATTCACCTGAGATTATCCAACCAGAGGAAACTTTAGAGATATTTAAACGAGCTGATTTATCCAAGACAATCGAAGCAGGAGATACATATAAGGCATTCCAATCAAAGGATACTCCCAACATAATTGAATTAGACGATTCTTCAGACAGACCGGATAATACATCCGGGGCATTCGAATCAGATGACACAGTCAAAGAAATACAACTGGATAATACAATTAAAACCGTCCCAAAAAATAATATCAGCCAAATAGATCGACCAATGGAATCTACCAAAGTAATCCAATTGAGTAAGGCAAGCGATTCAGCTGATTTATTTCATTTAGTTGAAAAAATCAAACCAATACCAGTGGTCGGATCAAGTCATGCAAACATACAAGTGGAACCTGATCATTCAAACAAATTGTCAAATTTAAAAGTCTCTTCTAGAAAATCAAAAGATTCAGACACCTTTAAGAAATCAGACGAAAACTATGATTTAAAGCATACAGGCCAATCAAAGAAGCTGAGACAAAATGATTCAAGAGACAATGATAATAGTGGACAATCGAAAAAAAGAGATATTGGAAAGCACACAGTCCGCACAAATGATTTAAAACAAGCAACTAAACTTGACGCAACCCCAGGTGATGGAAAACCCACCCGTCAAATATCTGTATGTGATATTTGCAATAAACAATTTCGCGATCGACGTTCATTTAGATACCACATGCAAAGACACAGTGGAGAATTAAAATTTATTTGTAATATTTGTAACAAAGATTTTGCAGCTAAAAATGCTTTAAATAAACATAAACAAATACACGAAGGTATAAAACCATTTCAGTGCCTTACATGCAACAAGAGCTTCTCCCAAAAGGTCAATTTACAAACACATGAGAGGATCCATACGGGGGAGAAACCATTTAAATGTGGAAACTGTGATAAAGCATTTGGCCGAAAGTATCATTTAGATGTGCACATGATGACACATACTGGAGAACGTGCTTACAAATGCACCGTATGCGACAAATCATTTAGATCTAAAGGCCACTTAAGAGTACATATGCGCGTTCATACTGGCGAACGGCCTTACAAATGTACTTTATGTTCTTCGAGTTTCAGTAGACTCCGTTCTTATAAAGACCACCAGTCCATACACACTGGTGACAAGCCATATTCCTGCGATGTTTGCTCGATGGCTTTTAGGTTGAAATTAGCTTTAAACCACCATATGGCAACACATGCAGACAAAAACAGTGTGCGTTGCAAACACTGTGGAAAAGGTTTTAAACACATCAGTTACATGAGAAAACATATCTCTGAAATGCATATAGGATTTAGAAAGCACATTTGCAAATTATGCGATAAAACATTTAAAAGAGCGTACCATTTAAAATATCATATGATGGTACATTATGGCATTAAACCTTATCAGTGTGATCAATGTGGAAGAAAATTCAGTGACTCGAAGAAATTGAAAGAACATATTTGGCTGCACACTGGTGAAAAACCTCATCAATGTACCTTCTGTGACAAAAAATTTCGATTGAGAACGGTTTTACAACATCATATCTATTCACATACCAAGGAACGGCCTCATAAGTGTTCTGTTTGTAATAAAGGCTTCACTTTGTCTTTTAATTTGAAGAATCACATGAATATTCATACTGGTGACCGCCCATATCATTGTAAACGATGTGGAATGACCTTCGTTTTCAACCACCTAAGAAAACATTTACGCTTTCATTGTAAAATGCGGCACAACAGTGAAAATACTAATGACAAATCACTTGACGGAGGTGCGTCTGCGTCAGAGAAAAATAATGTGACAACCGTGCAAAAAGGTCGTAAAGGTCGTTCAACGGAAAAGGGAACACAAACATACGTCTGCAGCGTTTGTAATAAAGAACTTAGAACAAGTGTAGATCTGCGCGTTCACACAAGAACACATACAGGCGAACGCCCTTTTCAATGTGTCATCTGCAAAAAATCATTTATGCGGAAATCTGAATTGAAAGAACATACTAAACGACATTCTCGGATGGCAGTGGCGCGACCTTGGCCATGTGATGTGTGTCAGAAAACATTTACTTATAAATCGGTCCTAAATAAACACATGATGGTTCATACTGGCGACAGGCCATATAAATGTGGCGACTGTGGACAGGATTTTGTGTTCGAAGCCTCATTAACGAGCCACTGTAGAAAACATGCTGGCATTAAACCTTTTAAATGTGGTCACTGCAAGAAGATGTTTATTACTCTATCTCAATTGAAAAGGCACGAATTTATCCATACTGGCCTTAAACCATACTCCTGTGATCAATGCGAAAAATCATTTGGTAGAAAGGATCAACTGAAAACACATAAGCACAAAGTTCATTCAAAAAATAAGTGTTCAGCCAAGAAAAAAGAACAAGAGGACGATTCTTAATCTTGCTTGATTTTTTGAAGACATTGCCATAGAAAAATACGAGTTTGTTTCTGCAAATGAATCATGAATTAACAATAAGTGCATGATTTTATCAAATTTTGTAAATATTTTGAGCAATTCTTGATATCGTTAAAATTTGAAAGTAAAAAAAATAAAATCTACAATACAAATATTAGTCCAATGAAATACGAGATGCTACTGCACAGTGAGTATATTTCTCTTTCTTAGCTTAAATCGAGCAAACTTAAGTATATAGGACAATGTTAAAAATGGACAGATACATATTCAACAATCTTTAGTTTTCTGTGTATTGTTGTGTTAAGTGTTTTTCGTCTCTTCGTCGCTTTTTTTAGCATATATAAATATAAGTATAAAAATAAGATGTGGTAGACTTGCCCATGAGACAACAACTCTTCACCAGAAACCAAATGACATAGGAGTTTACAACTTTGGGTCACCGTACGGCCTTCAGCAATGAGCAAAACCCATACCGCATAGTCAGCTATAGAAGGCCCCGAAATGACAAATGTAAAACAATTCAAACGAGGAAACTAACGGCCTGGTTTATATACAAAACATTGAACAGATATGATATACAGCAACAAACGACAACCACTGAATTACAGGCTCCTGACTTGGGGACAGACACATACAAAAATTGGCGGGGTTAAACTAGTTAGTTGGCGCCAAACCCTCCCTAACTTGAGACAGTGGTGTAACAGTACACCATAAGATCAAACTATAAAAATCAGTTGAAAGGGTATGTTTTATCTTAGAATTTAAGTTTTGTTTATTGCCATCTTTGTATATTCTCCCCTTGTCAGATAAAATAATGAACAAAAACCACTTAATTGAAAAACAACAACAAAAGTATTTAGTACGCTTATTAAACTTATTAAGTTTTACTGCCCACCCATGCTCAAAAAGGAAGCATATTTCGCTCCAGGAAGAAATTGATAGATTAATGGTAGTTTGTAAATGTCCGGGGGTGAAAAATTGACATTCTGATTTGTATGTGTCGTCCAACAAATTATTGAAGTCATATACCGGGCATGCCATATTCGATGAAAGTTTGACTGATAGAAGATGTTGGCAATTCGAACAAAAACCACAATAAATTATCGGAAATAAGGACAGATTTATCGTATTCGATTATATGGCATACTACCATACATGTATTCAATTAAATTTCCAAAGCTGGTACGACATGATTATTTATTTATCAATCCTGCATACTCAAACGAGCTTCCTTTGGTGAGAATATTTGTAAGGTCATATAACATCACGTAGAGGTACATTTAAAACAATATACGTCGGTATTTGATGCTATTTTGTCTCAAAGAACTCACTTATATATCACTTATCGTTCGTTGTTGTTTGTTATTGTTTTTTGTCTTTTTCGGAGGAGTCAGTTGTTGGTGGTTGATGAAAATTAAAATAAGAAGATGTGGTATAATTGCCAACTCTCCGCCAGAGACCAAATGACATAGAAGAAATTTATCATATGTATTGCCTGTGTGGGTTAATTTCAAAACTTTTTATAAATTATTAACGCTGCAACCAAGTTTTTGTCTGTTTTCAGGAATTTTAGGAATAGTCATGATTAGAATATGTGCTCCTACGTAATTGCCTTTTTCAAAACGAATAGAATCACATGGTATGATTTCTGTGCGTGTTTCTGGAATAATCATCAACACTCGGGTTCTTACAGGAAATACCGTTATCATTTTCTGTAAAATTACCGTTCTTAAAATTCAAATTTAAACATATTACACATCCGTTTAAGAATTTTTGGATTTCAATCTTCTTTAACTTCATATCTAGTCTGGTCTTCGATCTGTTTTGATTCTGACTTGTGTAGTAAGCCTGGTATCTCACATGATTTTTTTGTTCTTCATCAGTCACGCTCTAAGGCTTGACCAAAAGTAATCAATTGTTTGTACAGCTCTTTATTTGGGGTGAGAAGAAAAACTGACATTGTGCATTCTATTGTATCGTTCTGTTCATTGATGGTGTATTTAAAATGAACTTCTTCAAACATGAACAATATGGTTATTTTCTAAGTTAAACGCAGTTTGCACCTGTGCTTTTAAATTCACCTGTTCAGTTTTAATATCACATTATTGACAATTTCCTCTAAATGAAAATACACAAACAACGTGTGTAGAGTTGCTTTGTGTATATTTGACATATTTCATGAACCTGTTAAGTGGATCGGAAAGAAAAAAATGTGTTTGTAGTACTGTGAATTAGGTCACGCATTGCAATATATACGATCACACATTGTAAGTGTTGTTTACATTTCATTTTACATTCATTGCATTTTATGCGACATTTATACCTTTTATTTACATTTCATTTTATTTTATTTGACATAGTTTTAGATTATCACATTTAACATAAGATTTGCACTATTAAAGTGGCATGTGGAAAAAGGAAATTTGGATGTGCAGTAAAAATCACTTATCAAAATTTAACTATAATTTTTTTTAGTAATTTTTTTGTCGTTATTCACATTTTCTCTAAATATTTTCTGTCACGGTGACCCTTAAAGTCCTTGAAGTGTTGCTTTTATAACATATTTATGCAAGTTTTTCTTTAAAACGTATTTCCTTCAATAAAGAGCAAAAGCCAATGTACCGTTAAGTAAGATATAAATGTTTTTCATTTAAATGCAATATTTCTTTTTTAATTGGTATATTTCTTCATTTAAATGCAATATTTTTTTATTTGAATGGTATATTTTTTCATTTAAATGCAATATTTTTTATTCAGATGGTATAATTTTTCATTCAAATGGTATAATTTTTCATTCAAATGGTATAATTTTCGTTCAAATGCAATATTTTTTTATTCAATTGGTATAAAATGTCATTTGAATGCAATATTTTTTATTCAATTGGTATAGTAGTTTTTTTATTTATATGCAATAATTGCATTATGGGAAATTCTTTGACGTCATAAGGTCAAATTTGCAACAACGTTTGTGATTGGTCGGAAATTGTTTGGATTTCTCCCCTTTCTTTCTAAACATGGGTGACCAAGAATTAAAAAAACGCGTCAGAATATCGCCCCTCTAACTAAATCTAACGTTCGTGCGAGTCCTGCACTGGCTCGCTGTTAAAATCTTGTGGTCATAACTAGTATTTCTATTGCAAAATTTCGATCGTCAAAACGTTCGGTCCACTTTTCAAAAACCGTTTCATTGTATATGGATTTATATGCAAGTATATCGGTTTTTTTTAAATAGATAAGAAACCGTTGGTTTTCCCGTTTGAATGGTTTACACTACTAATTTTTTGGGGGCCCTTTATAGCTTGCTGTTCGGTTTGAGCCAAGGCTCCGTGTTGAAGACCGCACGTTGACCTTTAATTGTTTACATTTACAAATTATGACTTGGATGGAGAGTTGTCTCATCGGCACTCATACCACATCTTCTTATATCTATATACAACGTAAACCAGACGTTTCTCAGACTGTTTTCTTTTTTTAATAACTCCTTTGCCGCGCGTTGTGTACTGATTGAAAACTCAGTCTGGGAGAACAAGATTTATCTCAGTACCAGTTGTAATTAGGTTTGTGCAAACTTCCCGTAATTGCAAATACTCTTGTGTCGGTGCTTTGTGTCTATTGTCTTAATGTTAGTTTTTTTGTGTGTCTCGTACCGATCTTTTGAGTTAATTTGCTGATTTGTACAGGTTGTTATTTTATTGTACTGTTACACCACTGTCCCAGCTTCGGGATGGGTTGCTCGCAAACATGTTGTTGTACTGTTACACCGCTGTCCCAGATTAGGGGGAGGATTGGGATCCCGCTAAGATGTTTAACCCCGCCACATTCTGTATGTATGTGCTTGTCCCAAGTCAGGAGCCTGTAATTCAGTGGTTGCCGTTTGTTGCTATGTTATACATATTTGTGTTTCGTTCATTTTTTTGTACATTAATTCGGCCGTTAGTTTTCTCGATTGAATTGTTTTACATTTTTGATTTCGAGGCCTTTTATAGCTGACTATGCGGTGTATGCTTTGCTTATTGTCGAAGGCCGTACGGTGACTCATATTATAGCTGTTGATTTCTGTGTCATTTGATCTCTTGTGGAGAATTGAATCATTTGCAATCATACCACGTCTTCGTTTTTATATCCACCCTGCCATATTCTTTATTTGCCTGTCCCAGGGATGGAGCCTGTAGTTTAGTGGTTGTCGTTGGTTCCTGTCTCAACTCATATTTGATATTTTGTAAATTGTTTTGTTATGTATAATTAGGCTGTTAGTTTTTTCGTTTGAATTGTTCACACTTTTCATGTCGGGCCTTAAATATGGACGACTTTACAGTATCAGGTTTTTGTCATTGTTGAAGGCCTTACGATTGTCTACAAAAAGCATTTGTCTACATGACGGCAAAAAGCTCTACAGAGCTTATGTTTGTAGTATTTCATGTAACCCGACTTAAAATAATTTTTTCTTATCTTATCTTATCTTATCTATAATTGCTTACATCCACTTCATATTTGAACTCCGGTGGATAGTTGCCTTATTAGCAATCATATTCCATCTCTTCATTTTTATATTATATACGTGACTTCTAAACTCGTGTTTTCCTGAACAAGCATGAAATAATTTTCACTGGGCGTTAAAATTAGCAACAAACAATCAATCAATTTAAACTTGTGTTAAATAAGAGGAAAACCATTTGATATTTATTTATTTGTTGGGGTGGGGGACAGAAGGATTTCATATATGAATATGGTTGCCTGGTAAGAGCTGAAAAATAGGCATGATTAGCGACAGATTGAAATGAATAATAATGCCCTCTCTTCCCTTCCCCATCCTTCATCTATAAATTTAAACTGACCACCACGGAATAGTCCAATAGTGTTGAAAGTAGCGTTAAACACCAATCAATCAAAATCCCTTCCCTAGAATATCAAATAATCGTCCCTTAACTGTTATTGTCCGTGTAGTTCTTATATTTATCCAGCTTATCGTTCTACAGGGATGTCCTACTAAGACTGTCATACCATAAAAACGTTTATAAAACAGCTCACATTCTAATATATCTGCATTCATAAATTTATTAATTTCAGTTAGACTAAACGACGCCATGTTTGTTATGTGCCTCTGCCGTCAACCTATCAAAAAAGAAGAGGTGGAAGAGAGCCAGAAGATCTT